TTCTTGCAGAATTTACATCCATCTCAACTTATTCTAGCTGTAGTTAGCTTTGAAGTGTGTTGTGCTGAAAATTTAAGAAAGTTCTATTTCAATACTAGGTGATCAGAGCTATTTTTTTTTGGCTTACCTAATTTAAATAATTCCCTATTCCTTAAATATTTTTCTTCCCTCTCTAATGTCACTTTGCGTATTTATATCTAGATTACATTTGTTATGTTACTATAATGGTCCAAAGTAGCTAATCATGGAAAAAAAACTGTACTGCATGACAAGCATTTTTCAAATGAATATTTCAAATAGATTATTTATATTTTCCATTACTGAATTAATTTCACGAATGATGTATGAAACTTGTTTGAATGTGTGGTTAGTCAGTGCTTCATGATTGTTGCTCATGTTCTCTGTTGAGTGAAAGTCATTTCTTCTATACATGTCACATTGTGAAGTTAAATAGCACTTAATTACTGTAGTACAGTTAATTTGTAACTGTCTTCCAGAGTTGCTTTGATTCCATTTACATCATGCATTTAATTTTGTGACTTTTGTGTTGTGTGCATCAAATGGCAATAGTGTGAAACAAATACTTTGATCAAGAGTTTTTATTTGTGCCTATTTATATTTAATGATGCACCTGCATAATTGCATTGCTTTTGAACAAGTCTGATTTAATTTTACAATTCGTTTTGCAACACATTATTTTATTGCCCTGACTACCATTATTTTCACAACATATCATGCAAATGCATTCATTGCTTTTGTAGATAAAGTGCTGTGAGAGATGGGCTTGCAGTAGTTTGCCGATGGATTTTGATTTTGATTGTTTTATTCAGGTACATCGAGATTTTCCGCAGCAGCTTAGCGGAAGTGCGCGCTGCCATTGGGCCAAAAATGCGACCCATGGTCTCTGGACCATTCAGTAACAGACCAGCCCCCTACGACCGCAACGACCGCTTCGGTGGTGCGAACCGTTTTAACAACATGGGCAGAGGCGGCTCTGGCGGACCCGGAGGCCGCTCCTTTAAGAGCGGTAAGTGTCGCAGCCTGAAGTTTCCTATCCTAATCCTGTCGTCCTTCCGTAACTTTTGATTCTTAACTCGTCTATGTTTCTCTCAGACTTTGGCGGGTTCAATGACGACGGCCCAGGCCCATGGGGCAGGTGGGGCAACGGCGGCGGTATGGGCGGCGGCATGGGAGGCGGTATGCGCGGGGGCGGCGGCGGCGGTATGGGAGGAGGTATGGGCGGCGGAATGGGAGGCGGCATGGGCGGAGGTATGGGAGGCGGCATGGGCGGCGGCATGGGCATGAAGCCCGGCGGCTATGGCGGCCCAGGCGGCATGAGCAGAAACGGCAACTGGAGCAGTGGCGGCGGCGGTGGTGGCGGCGGCGGCGGTGGCAATGGTGGACACAACATCCACATGAGAGGCCTGCCCTTCCGTGCCACTCAATCTGACATTGCCGAGGTTAGTTCTTAATACTTCGAAAAAATCGTTTCTCTCTGTGGGCTCAATCTAAATTTTTTCCCGCCTCCTTGTGTTCGTAGTTCTTCAGACCGCTGGTTCCAGTCAGTATCAGACTAGTTTATGACAACAGTGGAAGAGCATCCGGTGAAGCTGACGTTGAATTCGCTACGCACGATGATGCTGTCAAAGCCATGTCAAAGGTACTGTATCTTTGTCTACACATGTGTCTTTTAATCTGTCTTTTTGTAACGTCGACCTTTATATCTCATTTGATTTTTTGTCTATCCTCTTCAGGACAAGAGCAACATGCAGCATCGCTACATTGAACTGTTCCTCAACTCCTCGCCCAGCCCACCAATGGGCGGTGGTGGTGGTGGTGGCGGCGGTGGCGGCGGTGGCTTCAACAGCATGGGAGGCGGAGATGGAGGCTTTGGAGTCGGCAGTGGTGGTTTCGGTAAGTTCCACAGTTTCGTCGTTGTATCTGTAAAATTTTTGTTTTGTGTGACCGATTTTCTTATCTGATCGTGTTCAAATCAGGTGGCCCGAGCAGCAACTTCAACAGAGGATTCTCTGGAGGTGGCGGCGGAGGAATGGGTTTCAACAGTCCCATGGGGGGAGGCGGCGGTTACAACTTTTAAAAGAGGAATACCAAGTACCTAATTTGTGGCGTATGTTCACAGTTAAAATCAGAATATAAATTATTTAAGAGATTCTTTTTCTTCTTTATTTCTGTGCGCATGTTTGATGGAATCATTAAGTATTAGGAAAGCTTGATCAATAACTGCAAAGTTTATTACTGTAAAGTGTTTCACGGACGTGTTGTTAAATGTATCAACTTTGTTTGCTTAGTTTATGTATTGTAGCCCAAAGGCAGACAATGGGCATTTATTCCAAGTCCTTATGTAATATGTCATAAATGTCGGCTCCTTTTTATAAGAGTAAGATTAGCATTTATTATTATTGATTGACCCCCTAAGTTGTATTACTTGAAGGCGAGTTGTTTTTTTTCTTTTTTCCTGTGGTAAATCTACATTTATAACTCGTTTTGTACTATGTATTTGTAAGATCATCTTAAACAATAAATCCAAATATTTTTAAAAGTGACACGTACTGCAAAATTCATTTGATTTCTCTTTCCCATACCGGGTCCGATTAACAGTTGGTAAAATGCCCGACCCCATGTTGTTGCATTGAACTCGAAATGGAGGCGATCGCTGCCCCCTAATGGCGCTGGAGGGACGCCCCCGCTCGCCCGGCACACCCTGGTGCGCACCCGTGTAAGCGGCTTACAGGTCCACGGGGCGGGCGCGGGGCCTGGATGGCCTGGACCGTGAGCTGATGCTGGTGGTGGCCGCCCCGGCGCTCCAGCCCCTTGCTCTGCCGCAACGCACCCGGATACTTACCAGGGGTCGGGTAGAGGAGAGGGCTGCTTCGGGGCCCAGGCCGAGAGGCAGGGAATTATCGGGGGACGAAAACTTGGCTCATTTGTGGCGTCGCGGTGGGCCGAGCAGCCCGCGCCAAGGGCATGTGTGTGCCGCGCCACGCCCGGGAGAGGGCTGACGACAACTCGGGGCGCCTGCGCCTATACCTATGGGGTTGTGCAATGGGAATGGCGAGTACCACCGCCACTTTGCTACGTAGTACCAGCCCTCTTATGCGAAAAGGGAAACAGGTAGAGACCCCCGATCTCGAAGTGAGCAGACCTTGTTGCCTAAACCCACGCAACGCACGACACGGCAGTGCGCCCACAGCCCTAAAGCAAATGGTCAGAGGGAGGCGGCGACGTTGTTTCCTCTCTCTTTGCCTACTTTAAGGAGGCCTGTAGAACAGATTGCCTACTCAGCAGGCGGCTCGTTTGGCGTCGCCACCCTCCCCCTCCCTGAGCCGAGGCGCAAGTCGTCATGAGGAGGACCGTGATGGCCGAGTAGCTCGTCTCGCCCGCCCCGTCTTCCCTCCCGTCCGGTAGGCCTGATGTCTCTCGCGGAGTGGCTCCGGTCATCAAACGCGGGACGCGGTGCACGTGAGGGCGTGGCGGGGCGGGGCGGACGGGGCGGGTGCCGTGGGGGATGGCGAACTGGCCCTCCATCTCCATAAACCGGGTGGTCAGCGAGCCGGAGGCCGTTGAGGCTGACACTGTCGGGATGCGCAGCAGGTGCCAAAGAGCGTCTCCCAGGTGAATGAGGTCCCGGCAGGCCCCATAGGCCTTCGTCTCAGCGCAGCACCACGCCCCTCGGCGGAGGGTGCGGCGGCAGTGGCGGGGCGCGGCGCGGCGCTCGGCCCCGCGGTGCAGCGCCGCCCCGGTGCGCCCCCGCGCGCGCCACGCCGCCGCGGCCCGCCCCGTCCTGTCCAGCCCCAGCGCAGCGCCAGTCTCGCGCTGGAAGCCGAGCAGAACGGACCACCCGCCAGAGTGCCGCCCCGCCGCCGCGAGCCGCCCCACTTCGCCGCGCTCACCGCGATCTCGCGCTCGCTATCGCCACCACAACACGGCCATGCGGCCGGCGCGCGCCGCGCTCACCACCGGCGTCAGCTCGCTCACCAGAGGATTACCACCTGCGGCCGGGACCGCGCAGTAGCGGCGGGACGCTGACATGGTGAGCTCGAGCAGGCTGGGACCGGGAACTCATTTTGATAATCATTCCAAATGCCGAAATGCTCATGTTATTAGTTTTGGTGTTCGAAGATCGCTTAGTTGGCCTCCCACGACGAAAAAAATTCACAATAGTGTGCTCAGTCGTATATTATTTAGCAGAAAAGGAACGTGAAGACAGAGGCAAATTGTTAAACTTTTACTCTACGGAACAGAGATTCGTCAAAATCACATCAAAGAGAATGAAAACCAACGGAGGTAAAGTAAGTCGAAAGTGCAACGCGAAGTTGGCGACAACCAAGTTTATGTCACTTTTATGTAATTAAGAAGACTGACATTTTGGCTCGAAATTTTTCATTTCGTTTTGGCGAATTAAGTAGCGGCGCCGCGGGTGACCGTTCAGCAGAGTGGGAAAGTCAGTAGTTTGTGGCAGTGCCGAAAGACAGTCGGCTTATGTCGCCTTCTGGCCGAGAAAGTCCGACCGTTTTTCTCAGAATCATTCGGCAAGTAAAAGGATCCCGGCTCTCGGCGCCTGCGAGGCGCAGGGTAGGCCACTTCGCAGTGCACAAGTGCACTGCAGACAAGATGTTGCCTACCCATCAGGTGCTTTAATGCCAGAGCTTGCATATGGGCTCAACTTGGCAGTTTCTTTGCGGCAAATGACGATGGACGCATGCAACTTGCACGCAGACGTGCATGCAACACAGTTTAACGATGAAAACGGACGGGGTTTTCTGCCCAAACAAACACCTTCACAAGTGCACCGGTGAACTGACCACCATCTGGAGTCTCCAAAAGAGACAAGCAAGAAAGCATGTTTTTCACTTATTTTGTCAACAGCTTAACTTTTAATTTTACGAGATCAAAGGGCGCTTGTTAGTGAGAGATACGCTGCTTGGTAGCTGTCTGCTGGGCATGCACTCGATGGGAGGGACTTTTTTCGCATTGAGTTTTTCGTTGTTAAAAAAATAATTAAAATCAAGGATTTTGCGACGAGTTTAAACGGCCTAGCGTTGATCGTTAGATATTTCCCAAGTGTCTCGTCTAAACGGCGCCTGAGTTAATTTCTATCCAATGTCTTCAAAACCGTTAATTGTCAAATTTTTGTAATGATAAAACAAAATGTTTATGAGGGTGAAGGATTATTTCGGGTGGTGGAGCTGGGTCTCTCGGCGCTCCAGGATGTCGTTTCGAATAGCGGTGTCGACGGGGGAGGGGTGGGGCGCAAAAGGCAAAAAGAAGAGAGCAAGGGAGAGGAGGGAGAGGAGGGGGAGGAGGAGGAGGAGATTTCAGCGAGTCTCGCGGCAATTGCTCGCATGGGAAAGAGATTTGGCGGTAGGGAGTTTGCGCTGCGTCTTGCAAAGTGATTTTCGCTCAAAGGCACGAGAGCATTCTGGAAATTGCACTGCTATTGGTCGCGGTGAGCGTGTGGCTGAGTGCGCCCCTCGGAACGCCCCCCGCCAGCTACTCCCCCCTTCCCCTAGCCACACCGCGACACGTGAGCGCGCCGTGCCGTGCCGCGTGACGAGAGGTGACAGAAAGCCTCCCCCACGCCACCGCTCCGGGCGCGCAAGCGGGGAACAAACTTGGAAGCGAGACTAATATTCGGGACATATATTCCGCCTCGCTTTTGATCCAAACTTTTGCTTTCGATTCACGGCGAAGTTGTAGCAGGGGCCGATCTATCAAATCCATTTTTATTCTTGCCGGATGTCCCATGCCGCCGCCGCCTGCAGGCTCCCTTGGCCCGCACTCCGGGCCCATAGCGGAGGCGCGACAGGGCCGCGTCAACCACGCAGGCGGCGGCTCGTCGAGGTCGAGGGGTCGCGGAGCTCGAAGTCATGTCGGCATATGGACGGCGTCAGCTCGACAGGTATCTTTCTTCGATGTCAATATTAAAACTCGACACGAACAAGTTCTCACTCGGCTCCCGCGCCCCGCCCTCGCGGCTGCGGCTTGACGTGTCGTTCCCGTCGCTGACACACACCACACACCACACACACACCCACCGCTCCACCTCCACCACACCTTCCGTCCCGGCGTCCCGTCCCTCGGTGGACCCCCTCAACCCGAAACGCCCAGTCGAGGCCCGAGCCCCGCGCCCCT